TCTGTCAGAGGTACCCTTGGAATAATAAGGCTAAATTTTGGCATTTTCCCCAGTACAATATATTTGTTGAAAAAAAAACAACTAATGCAATCTGTTGTTTTTTTATGAGCGTGTGTTTAATCAAATATTTCAACGCTCTTTCTTCTGAAGCAAAAATCTATGCCAGTAGATTACAGAAATCAATGTTCAGCATTAAAGGTGGAAAAAACGTCTTGCATGATTTTTTTTTTAAGGGAAAATCAGATTTAGTGAATCCAAACAGTGTGCAGAGAAAAGTAACTATTGTTGCACTGTTACATGGGAAAAAATTCAACATATTTGAAGGTTTTTTTTTTTTTTTTTTAATCAAAAGTTTTATATTCATTCTGAACTGGGCAGTTTTCTTCCATTAATTCTGAAAATGTTAATCAACAAAAGAATACATTTAGTGCTCATAAAAATATATACAGTAAAAGTTACCTCACAACTGCAAATTCAACCCAGAACTTGCAAAAGACTGTGTGTATATGAAAAATAATTTGGATATTTATGTTTTCTGTGTCCAGTACATACATTAACAATTTAATCTTCATAATGATTTTATTATAGAGAGGTATTATCCTAAATTATTGTGTGGAGTCCCACATCTCATCATTAAAGTTATGGATTGCTCGTTGTGGAGCCTTGTTACTCTAGGAAGGACTCAGTGTACCAGAACACAGATTTTGGCATGCTGCCTACCCAAGATGGATGAACGTACTGCGTTCTGCTGCGGCACCATTGAAAATAACTGCATTTTTCATCAGCTAAGGTATAATAATAATTGAAAGAACAGTATTTTCACAGCAGATTTTCCAAATGTTCTGCATAATTTTGCCTGTCTTGCATCTGCCAGTTTACTACAAAGTGTCAAGGTTTCAATCAAATGGAGGAGAATAATCCCTTAGGGAGCCACATCCCTTCCTTGGCTATTGTAGCATAAACTGAAAGAAAGGTAGGGTTTTACAGAGAAGTTAGAAATAGTCACACTTTGCTTTGGAAACATTATGAAGTAATAAAATCATACCAGAGAAGCTAGTGGGATAGTCTCCATGGAGAAAAAGAAAAACAAAAAAATGAATAAACTACAGAGTGCTCTTGCCCTATTGTTGTCTGAGTTCTCTATCTTGCTGCTTGTGGTAGCCCTTTTGAGACAATGCCCAGTAAAACACATACAATTAACACTGATAAATATACCAACAAGAAGCTTAACAATGTTATTTTTTAAAGTTCCCTTTGGGATATGTTTTTTTTCCTGAATTGTACTTAAAAAAACAAATGAACAACAATTACATTCTGAATCAGCATGAAAATGAAAAAAAAAAAAAGAAAAAAGAAAAAAGCTACGAACACAGCAAGGCTAAATGGGGAACAAACCGATGTTATTAGTAGATCCAAAGCTAATTAATCACCTCCCAGGTTTGATTCTGTTACAATACATCATATGGATTTCTCACGCATTCAGGCTTTGATACACGTTACCACATAAATCATTTAGAATTAAACATCACGAGTTTAGGAACAAACCCTCCCCACCATCGGTCAGGCAGCTGAAAACGTGGGAGTCAGGCTTTCAGCACGGGCAGACATCACCCCCAGAGGAGCGCCTGGTGTTGTGCCAACACCTCGTTAGCATTTAGCAGCGCTGGCAGAGCATGAAAGCCAGCAAGAGAAACAGAGACAAGCGTGAGTCAGAGAGCAGATCAAACCAACAGAGTCAGGGTTTATAGGCTCTATATTTAGTGCATTTTAAAAGGTAACTGTTCTAATATAGAGACGTTGAGGAATAGCGCTGTTTAAAATTCCTGCTTACGTGCATAGCTTTCCTATAAATACCTAAAAGTGCCTTGGTTGTGGTCAAAGATTTTGCTGTAATACTCCCAAGCAGTTTGTGAAAGCAGGGGGGTCACTGACATTCTTGCAATTATTAATTTCCTTCACTCCTGAATTCTCTTTTGGATACAACTTAAAGCACACAAATGGCACACAGAACAGCTGTGATAAAAAATGCTCGCCTTCTGATATAGGGATGTTTAACTGGACTTGTTTTCAACAGGGTCCTTCCTAATCAGAAATGGAGTATCAACAGCAGGCGTTGTACAGAAAAACAGGGAGATTTGCCTGCTCATTGCAGCTACGTGTAGCTGCCAGCAATGACTGCCATGTTGGTCAGACCAAGGCTTTGATGCGTAATTTAGAAAAACAGATGTTTTATCTGGGAATGTGTCCAGATCTTAAAAAAAAAAAAAAGAAAAGAAAAGAAAAAATGAGGAACTTGGTAGTGGCCTCTTTTGTCAGCAGCAGTAGCTTCAAAAGGACTGAAGAAATACTGAGTAAATAGCTGTATTTCTATGTCACAGCAGAGAAGCATGATTACCTTTGTGAGTGACGTACACTATGGCGACGAACTAATTGGTGATTGCCAGATAAATGGACTGAACAAAACAGTAAACCGTGGAAATGTTAATTTGGCCATTATTTTTTCATCAATTCTCTCTGCTCACTCTGTTCTTTCCAAAAAACCCCAAGAGTGACATCCTTCCGTACCGTCAGCTATCCTAGCAGAACCAGCAGAGACAAATAGCATGAAGGTTTACAGGACCACCAATGTATGAGAAATCTTTGAGAGATATTAACTACTACATTTCATGCAAAACTGAACTAATAAAGACTCTTCCTCATAGATCATGTCCAAATTGAAAGAGGTTTTAATCCACATAAAAGATTTCGTAAGGCTCTACCATTAGTCCAAGGGCTATTAAGCATATAAGAGGATTCCTTCAAATTTATCTTCTACACAGTCTTCAATCGCTGCTCAGTCTTGCCTTTTCTCTTAATGTTGTCACCAATTTGTACTGCAAATGCCTTAGAGGACGTGCTGACAAAATGATATTATCTGCCTGGTATGCCTCTCAGACACTTTCTCCCCAGCCCTGAAGGGGCTGCACTTCATGTGTATGAGGAGGAGAGGGAAGGAGGAGGCTGCACAGGAGGGGTCCAGCTGTCCCTGGGGCATGTGGCTTCTTGCTAGCTCCTGGCACCACTGGGGTAGCCCACAATTCAACCTCCATGCTCTGTGAACTGCTCTCCTGTGGACCCAAACCATGTGCTCTGCCAGCTGGGGGATCAGATGCAGCAGGTCCACCTTTGGCAGCTTCAAAGCCACGGCGCTGTTTGCGAAATATGTGATATTTATACTGCCAGATGTGAGAGAGTGTGAGCTATGCCTTAAAGCCTTACAGGATGGGAGCTGTTGTGGAGTCAGCCTGAGTATGTGTACAATAACAAGTATCCATTTAACTCAATTTTATACACTATTATTGTATTCCTGAAGTGGTTTAAAAAGTGTGCATTCTAGCACAAAGAAAATGAAACAGCAATTGCATTGTGTTGTCACTGGTGATTTCAAAGTTAGCTACACTATGCCTGGAGAAATAGTTTCCTTGTGCTGCAACTATTCAGAGGGCCAGTTAATCAGGTGATGCAAATCGGCGTAGCTCCGTCTGGAAGGCTCAGCAATAACGCAAGATGTTGCTCTCATGATTACTTTTTGCTGAGCCTACATGCTTTGTAAAGCCGCTACAGCAAGTTGATAATGATGCATGAAATGGAAAATCCTTCTGAGCACACCCAAACGCACAGTGGATGCGCAAAGCAATCACAATGGTGCAGTTTTATTTGATGGGTCATACGACACATGCGCCCACTTTAATGTATTCAGGCTTTCACTGCTTTTAAATAGGTGCAACTCCACCTCTTGCAATTTACTCCTGATTAACACAGCCTTAAATATGACTGGAACCATATATAAAACAGTATTCAGGTCGGGAACTGAAAAAAGCACACAGCGTTGTGGGACCGAAGATGAAAGCCATCAGTGGTGTCACTCCACTGATTCAGATCAGGAGAGAATTTGGCCTGGTTACTTACCTCATTGACATGTCAACCCTTTGAGGCAATGGTAGCTGGATATTTTGAGAATAAAAACACTTGGGGATGTATGTGCTACTCTCGCACACCAGCAGTAGTTCTTTCAGTATTAGAAAACTTGTTGGAAATTGTTTGGAGAATTTTCAAAGTAAGTTTTCTATACTTTTTTTTTTTTCATCTCCATAGTCGCAGTGCTACTCAAAGGTTATCTGAAATAGCTGCAGGCAGTGGAGGAATCATAGAGAGATCACATGAAACACAGCCTGGTTTCTGGAAAAGAGGGATATTCAGCTCCTCCTCTGTACCATTACTCTACCATTTTGATCACTTCTGGGACATCAAATACTGAAAATAGCTCAGAAAGCATTTGGCTCAACATCTATATCTATATATCATGAAGACTACCACACAATGCAGGTGCTTTAAATCTATCCCAACTTGAAAATGTAAGCTACATAATGCCAAAAAATGTCATTACAATGTAAGCATTGCACATAGCCATACCCCTAAACTCCTTCCAGGGTTCATTCCACACTGAAAACTGAAGATTAAATGTACTGCCTCATGCACATTACACCATTAATTTTGTATTATAAATCAAACGCAATATATATATATATATATATATGTATGTATTTTTTTTTTCCCACTGGATTAACTTCCTCAGCCAAGTAGTGGTATGGTAAAATAAGATGTAGTACTGGCACAGGGGAATCAAATCATCCTGAGTTTAGTTTGGCTCAAAGACTTATGAAAGTACAACCTTAGCTGACAATGACACTTAGGGATGTGAGTTGTTCCGGGTGAATTTTTGCTTCCGTACTGAACAGGGAAAGACATTGGAAGAAAGTTCCTAAATTATTTACTCAAATGTACTAAAAGCAACAAAACATATTTTTCTTAAAACACAGACACACCAAGCACAGTTGCCCATTACAGCAGTACAGATTTTGTTTGACAGTTGTTGGCAAGATGGAAGGACTTACTGCTTCAGTTTTATTCTGGGTCCTGACTTACGAAGTCACAAAACCCTAAAATAACAGTTTCCTTACCTGTGTACCAGCTGCTTGCGGCTTACACAAATAGCAGTTTCATAGTCATGAGTGACACACACTTTATGGGGGCTGCACTTCACCTTCAGACATGGGTCTTTGGATGGATCAAGAGCTATAAAAAAAAACAAACATCGAAAAAGAAAGTTAGACATGCATATGAAGTTATCTCATGTCTGACATGACAAGTGGTTGGAATGAATATTCCCGTATCTGCATGAATAAATACTTTGCCACTGTGCAGTATGTGCCATTGTTTGCAGACTGCGAGTTAAATAGAGATGTTTAAGTAGAAGGGTAGACGTAGTGCTCAAAGATTCTTATTACTGAACAGTGTTCTAACTTGGCATTCAGATTCATATTAGACATTGTATGTTAGGAAGGAGCGCTGGTGCTCTAGGCACTGGAACAGCCTCTGGAGCAGCCTCTTGGTCCCTACAGAAGCTCACCAGGAGCAGACACATTTGTTGTCCTGTCTGTATGCAAGCCTCGCTGTTCCTGCCAAGTTTGTACAAACCACTTCCTTAAAGAAGTGGTGATTTGATAATCTTTCAAATGAAAAAAGAGGAGTGATACAGTGCTATGCTGGATACCACTCCAATTAGAGCACTGATCCCACCAGAGAAAATCTCTTATAAATACTTTTCTGCAATCAAGTCCTATTTGAAAGTCTATCTATCTAAAATTATTCTCTAACAAAAGGATGCTTCTAAAGATCAGCAATAAGACATATCTGCCAGGATGAATTACAAATACTCAAAAAATGGTTACGTGAATACTCAGAAGGGAAGTTACAGCCATAAATAGAATTTTTACCTTTGCTTAACAATGATTTATATATATATATTTTTTAAATATAATTTTGCCATAGATTTGAATTTCTGTTCCTCTTTAAGCTGTCCTTAAATCCCCTGTTTTACCTCCCCCCTTCCTCCCCACATAATGGGCCATTTTTAGAATTGGGCAACTCTAGATTCATTTTTGGGACTGTATAAAGATTTTACTGCAAATTATGGTAACTGAACTTCTCACTTTTACCAAATGAAAAGGGAAACTTTTAAAGGATACTATCTAAAGTACAAGAAGTTTCAGTTTGCTAAGCACCAAATTTCTTTATGTGACAGTTAATGTACTTCCAATAAGCAGGGGATTCTTCTGTTTTTCTTGCAGTTCTGAAGTGTTGCAGCTCTTCTGTGTTGGTTTAAGCAGCCAGAGCTACAAGATCTTACCACATTAACACCCATTAAATATTTATGATGGGCAGTTGTGCATCGGTGGTGCACATGAATTTTTCAACAAAACTCTGCCAGGATGTTTCAATGTCCTACCACCAATGCCCATGGTATGATAAGATAGGTATGGTCACACTCATCTTAGTTTTGAAGGTCAAGTAAATTTTGGCATAAATAAGAGAGTAAGATTTTCTAAAATTCTAAAATTTTCTCTAATTGAAGAATTATATCCTATTCCTTGAACTCCTTATGCCTTCTAAGGCAACAAAAACTGCATGCACTTCTGAAATATGTATGTTCTGAAAAAGCATCACACATATATATTATTGTTAAAAAACAACAACAAAACCTAATCAAACAAAAAAACTTTGAAATATTTTGCAGTAAAAAATTGCCTGTTCAAAAAGACAAGTATTGTCGAATGGTCAACAGCATGAAGCAGAGGAGTGTGAAAGGATATGGTTAGAAATCCCAGTAGCTATTTCCTTTTAAACCAGGCCTCAGAGACTTTCTACCTCAGTGTCTTGCTTCCAAAACTTGTAAAGAATAACAATATTGGCAATAATAATAAATAAAGCATTTAAGCACTTATGTGTAGTGTAAATTATTTCATTCATGGTGGAAAAACTCATGAAGATCCTTAAATGGAACAAACTATAGAAGTGCAATTAATTATTCATTACAAACAGACGGTTCAAGACAGTAGAAGGAAGTTTGTTAAATACAAGTAAAACTGTGGGCTTTGTCAGAAGGCAGCAAAAATCCCACAATCTGGATTATTACTTCTTGAGATTTTTTCCAGTATGCAATCTATATGAGCAGAAAAGGTCAAAAAATGAATTTATATGCCTGCAAAGTTGTTCAACATTTTAAATAAGTTTGGAAGGCTATCCTACTGCTTAGTAATACAAGCGCCAAGGAGAGAACTTACAAAAAGAAACAATTTCTTAAATATTTCTTAAGTATATCCATTCCAGGAGACGGCTGGCTGAAATACAGGGAAATATAGTACTGCATGTTTCTCAGTATTAACATTTTCGGAAGATTTTCATTCTGTGAAAATTCCTGGCTTTTTTATCTTGTCTCCAAAGTCATACTGTTCATCACTGAGATGCTTCTGCTACTGACATTTGTTTTCTAGCTAACTGTCCTGGTATCCTGAACTCTGAAGTTTCTTCTTGTCTGGAAGAGCACAAGTGAAGAAATGTTTAGAATGGCTAAAGTTTCTGCTTCAATGGTTACTGCAATTTGTAGGAAATTGTACCCTCTTGGTCTGTTAGCTTTATAGGTCAGCTCATTGCACTGCAAAAGGGAAAGGCTTTCGTCTGTACACAGTGACCCAAAACCTATCCCAGGCCATTTATAAAAGATGCAGGTGCAGAATCAGAATTGCTGTTATTCAGAGGCAGAAGATTTGCATTCCTTTTTTAAGCCAAGCGTTTATTACACATAGCAACCTGAGTTTCCTATTAAAACTATAAATCACCTGTGGTTCACTCACAGACATATTAGAATAACTGGAAAACAATAAATATGAAGGACTGCATCAGATCATTAAGATCATTAACAACCTCCACATGGCATGTGGGCAGCTTTTTCAAATTCTGAAAGGACTCCAGACACCAGTTGCATCCCAAATCCCTTCCCTTGCTCTTTCCACAAAGGAGACCACAGAGCGTTTGCCTATGAACTGTGCACACTTCCCTCTCCCCTCCACGTACCCTTCACGAGAGGCTGTGAGTTAGCAATATAAATCAGCGTTGGACAAAGACCTAACAACATTGTTTGAGATACTTTTCTATTACGTTTCATGTTTTTATATATTACCACTATAAAAGAAGACTTATGACTTGGAGGGAACTCCTTAGTTCAAACAATGGTAGTACAGGGAGAAACTGCTCTATAAGGTTGTGTTGTTGCTGTGGGTCATGTGTTAATCGCAATAGAGTCAATTTATTTTTCACACATTTGACTTTAAAAGGGTGATAACAAATAAATACTTTCAGTGTGTTACAGCAATGGATGTGCAATCCTGCAGAAACTGTACAACTAGTTCACAGCAAGATTTATGAGCTTGATTTTGTTTTTATGACCATTTGTTTGGGGGAAGAGAGTAATTTCAAGCTTAGCTGTTTAGCAGAGCTGAAACAAACTACAGTCGAAAAGAGATGGCATTATGTAAATATTGTGCTTTTTTTCCCCCCGAAATTGCCTGACAATAAGTATTATGATCACTCAATGACAAAAATACTTCTGCATAATGAAATGTCAACAGCAGTTGAGTTTATGCAATCCCCTTTAAACCATTCTGCCTATATGAGAAAAGAAGAACATCTGTTGAGAAAGGTATGATGAACTGGAAAATGGGACCTGCTGTCTTCAATGCAGGGAACCTAGTGAATATTTTAAGACAAAAGAGACTGATATTAAAACAAAGTCTCTTACTTAAATGATGCGTTACATTATAGGTGTGTATGCCAATATTATTATGTAGTACTTGATTCCAGCAGTAATCCACAAACAAGCACGGGAAGGGAGGCACAGATCCTGGCTGTACAAGCAGCAGCTAGAGCCTGGCAGTGAGAAAGCTGTAAAGGCTGCTCTGGGCAGGGGAGGAAGGCTGACTCCTCACCCAGCTTCCTTCCCACCCAGCAAAAAGCTCAAATGGCAGCGAGCATCAAACTTCAGATCTAAGAGGCAACATTTCAAACTGGCATCTTGTCTCTGCTTGTAACACGGTGACAGCCAAAGGGAATGTGTGATCAAAGCAGCCAAAAAGTGACTTGCAGGAATTACTACGTGCTTCATGAAAATGGTCCTAGAGCAAATGTGTAAGAAAACATGCAGCCAGCTTAAGCATGTATTAATAAAAATCTCTACAACCTTTGCCCTTTTTTTTTTTTTTTTTTTTTTTTTCTAGGAAAACAGCATGTTTCCAACACATGATGGCTAACATATGGCTAAAAGCAGTTTTCGTTTTAACAATTCAGCTGTTTGAAGTAAACCATAGATTTCCTCCCTGCATTAGAGCTTCTATTCAGCTTTAAAATAACTGATTTTATTTATTTTTTTCTCCTTAACATGAATATGGCCACACATATATTGTCTTAAAGAGCAATCAGGTGAAAGTTGCTCAGCTTCTCTGTGAATATGCTATGGTTTTCAGTGTTATAGAGGTGAACCTCAACCAGCCCTGTGCTGAGTTTACACTGGCAGTGGAACTTAATCCAAGTGCAATGGGATTACCTTCTATAAGCAAAACAGCTAAGCAAGGCTGTGATGGACTTCCAGACTTTTAGAGCCATTCAGAAGGTTTTTAATGATAACCTTATGAAAATAAATACTTCCTGATTTTACAGGTTGGTAAGTGACTACATTGAGTCAAGACTGTCTTCTTTATTGGAGTTGGTTCTAGTTCTAGTTTAAAAAATGTTATTTAATAATAATTAATAATAGATTATGATTCCTCCTTCCCCCCCCCCCCCCCCATTAATTGCAAGTAATTTCCAATGGTTTTTATTCTGTTTCTGCAAATCTTGGCATAAATCGTTTTGCTTCATTAGAGAGAAAAATGGTGTTAACCCTCCCCCTAGTCTAGGCAAGAACTTGTCTTCGATTAACAGGCTCAGATATGGAAGTCTCTTTCTCTCTTGCATGCTTTCTCTGCTTTCTTTCCATGTAATTACTCAGAGTAATTTGCATACAGAAATCAATTCTGCTGAAAATTAATTACCATAGGCCTGAATGTTTCAAACATGTATGTGAATTATTTTCACTAAATGAAATTTCTCTAGGCAGTTAAACAATAACATCTCAAACTGTCAGCATTTATTCTATCTCTGCCTAGTATTTTTGTATAGTTTTGATTTAGAGCACCCTAACA